AAACACAGGTGGGCTTTTCTTCTAGGGACATGAGCCTCTAGATCACTTTGTAGAAAAAAAGATGCCCTTTTTCTTTGGCATTTCCTAAGGATGACACCACTTTAGTTAAATTAATAAGACAAATAGTGTACTGGAGATTGAAGGAATTGAATTTTCTGGCTGAAGCTTCAGAATGATGTGTTCTAAAGGATACAATCAAATTATACATCTTGCTTGAATATATTAAATTTGCTATTAAATATATTCAAAATCAGTAGGAGTTACATCAGAAGAAATCACTGTTTCTATAAGATCTTGTTTGTGTGTTAGTCACTGTTTCTTTCATCATTTCTGTACAAATCAGTTTCTGTTGGGTAAACGGTAAGATTTGGGCAAAAAGGAAAACACACTTTAATGTGGACTGAAGTACTTAATAGTTGAAAATTAAACAGTCCAGCAGTGAACCAGCCACTGCAGAGGCCTTCAGGGTCCCTTTTCCACTTAGTGCAATCCACAGTTTCAGATTCTGGGTGCCGCAGCGCCTGGATTGGGAACTCTGCAGCGGGGCGTTTTGCAGTGAGGCTGCTGACAGGTGGTTTTTGTTAATTATGGCATCAAATGCATTGGCTTCAGTTTTTGTTGAAGTTTATTAAATTGCAAGCTGTGCTTAGCAGGTGTGAGGCTTTATTCTCAGACCTATATTTTTTATAAATATGAAACTTCTGGTTTGTGAGTGTCTTTCATGCTAATAAGTCTATGAGCTTAGTAAACCGTGTAGGTACTTGCTTACATGGGGAATATTCATGTTTGAAAATCCCATGTGTTCACTGGTGGTGTTTTTGTTCCAGGATTCAGCAGGCAGGACATGAAGCCTATGTTTTAGCTCTTTCCTCCTTCAGCACACCTGCAGTAGGAGCAGCCTGCGTGTGTTTTCTAGAGTTGCTTGGTCTCAACAGCCTCAAACTCAGGGTCGACATTAAAGTTGCAAAGATGATTTTCAGTTACAGAACTAGAAATGAAGAATCTCAGCGCAATCAAATAAGAGAATCTTTGGGTAAGGCTGTCTTTTGTTTGTTTTAAAATAGGGTGCTATGGATTTATTGGGAGGAGGAGCAGAGATGGTGCCTAACTTCTCAGGAATGCAGTAGAAGCATCCTGTCCTTTGAAGAGCTAAGGATTTTGCTCTTTTATTCCTGCTTCTTACCAATTTTGAAGGTGGTTTTGACCCTGGCAGGAAGATTGTACTATGACATGCAGCTAAAATTGCAGGAGTATCTGATAGACTTTGTTGAACAGCTGCCTAAGGCTCAGTGTAACGTTTAGTAAGGTTCAGCCTAATGTTGTAATGATATAACTAGAGGATTAAACAAAGGGACATTAAAAAATCTCTCCTCTCTTTCTTTTTTGAAAACTGTCTTACAGCAGCGGTGAAATCAAATGTTCAAAGCTGTAAGGAAATTAAATTTATCCTAGGAATAACTTTAGAAAGTTGAATTTCTAACTATAGGTCCACAGGTGTCTTTTTGTCTCAACTAGAAAACTACTGGCATTTATTTGTATTTTCCTGATCATTCTAAGAACGTATGTGTTATTTAAAACTATAGGTAGAGCTTATTTTAAAAAAAAAAAGGTTATGTCATTGGCAAGTTGCAATTCTTTTTCAAAAGTCATGTAGCCACTTTGGTGCTAGACTTGGCAGAGTTATTGAAACGTTTGCATTAATAGGATTCGTTCTGCTTGATGATTCTGGTACTGTTGAAAATGTTACCCTTACTCTAATCTTAAATAGCACCTTGGAAATAGTAACACTTTCTTCTAAACAGTTGAAAAACTAACAAAATTGGCTGGTGGTGAAAAAGCAGCAGCAGCAGAAGTTCTTACCTCCTTAGAAGAAGCCTTTTGGGATGCAGTTGAGCATCAAGGAGTAAAGAAGTGAGTAAAATATGATTTAAAGAATTATGCTGGCAAACGGAGATTGAGCACCAAATTTTACTATTTGTGTATTTGGGTAATATTAAAGAGATCCCTGTGTGTTTTATCACCGTGAACTGAGCAACAATATTTGAATTAAGAATAGTCTTGGGATTTCAAATAGTAGAGGTAACGGACATGTATTGGCAAGAGCAAGGAAGTGCAGTCAGTGTGTTGGACTCACTGGCCCACCGGGCTCGTGCAGCAGGCTTAGGTGTGAAGATTGTTGAGTTCTTGCCAAAGCCTACAGTGTCCAGGTAGGACAGTACCTCCCTTGGTGGGTGGGAATGTCCTTGGGGAGTGTCCTATGGCAGCTCCCACACTGGAATGTGACCTGATCCGTAGCGAAGTCAGCAGAAGTGCTGGTGTTGCTGTTTGCAGGCGATGGGTCTCAGGCCACATGAAGAGTTTATATGTTGTTAACATCTGGTATAAATACCAGTTTATTACAGCTGAAGCTCTTTAAATCCCATGCAGGACATCTAGCGACTCTAGAAGGCAGTGGGCTTTGGTAATGCAGTTCTGTAAACTCCATGATATCGAGCTGAGTACGTCTTACCTGAAGGAATGTGCCAAATCCAACGACTGGCTGCAGTTCATCGTCCAAAGCCAGCTGTACAGCCACCGGCCAGAGGAGGTAAGCTTCTGGGTATGACTTTAAATGAGGACAGAGTTTATCAGGAATGTGCTGTCTGAGATCAAAAAAAAAAAAAAGGAAGGAAAAAATAGCCTCTTCGCTTCCTGGGAGTTGGAAGTTGTCTCAGGGTGCTCAATACCCTCTGATTATGATAGCCCTTCTCTTACAGCTGGATTTCCCAACTTTTCCACTTCTCTCCCCCTCTTGGCGTGTGTAAAGCTAACACACCACGAAGGAAATGGACTCCAGAGGGAGCTGGCTGTTCAGCAGATATCATAATAGCTTCTAAGAACATGAAAGCCAACTATTAAAGGGGAAGATTAGGGAAAAAATTCCCTGCCTGAAAAATCTTGTGCAACGTTATTAATCGGTAGTGGAGAAGAGTTTTCAGAGAGGAGTGATGGGAGTGTCGCTTTGAAGTGAAGAGAATGCAAAAGTGTTTGCCAAGAAGGGACCTAATTTTCATTTTAAATTTAGTTAAGATTATGACATACTCATACCAACTGTTTTTAAAATAATTTAGTTACTGCTTTTTTCACTGGAGAGTTGCCATATATTCAGTATAAGTTTTAATAAAGCCACTCATCTTTCCTTTCAAAAGTTACATTGATTTTTGTGTGAAGATACTTAAACTTTTGAGAATCTAAGTCTTCCGGTTTTTGATTTGAACGTAATTTGAAAATTAATGAAATATTACCAATATATGTAAAAATTAAGTGATTTGGGAAAAGTAACGTGAGGAAGCTAACTGGAAAATTCTAAGTAAGATGATGCATAGCAGGCCTAGGATTTTAACTTGGATCTTGTTGTCTTGAAAAGGAAAATATGTAATCACACAGCAGCAACTGCCTGGGCACTTGTCATGATACGCTGTCAGCAGTATGAGAGAGACACCAAGATGAGTGTCTCTAGGAGACGTTTTAGCTCCATGTAAAAGGATGAGCTTTAATATTTTATTAGAATAATTCCCACCTGCAAACACTTTGTTCTCTTTAGGTCTCCAAAACATGTTCTAAAAATCAAATTTGAGGAATATTTTATTTGTCTTTTCTGTGTGCTTAGTGCTTCAGTCCTTCTTCCCCCTCGTTCTCTTTGGCTCTCACTCTGTACAGATGCTTTTGGTTGTTTTCCCAGGTCATTTCTATCCTTCAAGATTTCACTCCTGTTTTACGAGATCATTTGATGCTGGCATTGGAGAAGTTACCACTTTTGTGTCCTGGTGCTGCCAGTGTGGTCAAAAGCAAATATGCAGATAGTCTCTTCCAAATCCTTTTTCAATGTCAGGGGAACTCAAACCCTTCCTGCTACCTGTTGACTAAAGGACTGAGAGAGCACGCTCCCATTCTGAGTGTTTTAGCAGCATGTTTCCAGGTGAGTGTTGGTGAAGCTATTTCTCTTTTAGAGGGATAAGTAACAAAAAAGTGATGGTCGTGCATAATTATGTTAAATGGTAGATATGTAGGTTGCATTCATCAAGTTTTTTTCTCAGTTTTTTGTAGTAATTGTGAATAGTACGACACGTTTTGCCAAGTGACATATAATGAGATGATGTTTGTCTGGGGTTATTGTAAAATCATCATTTTTGTCGTTTGGCAGGACGCAAACATTATTGATTGTCTCTGTGTTTGGATAATTACTACCGTGGATGATACTACCAGAGCTGAAGCAACAAACCACATTCAAAGCTCAGCAGAAGATCACAAATGGGATCTTCATGACCTGTCAGTTATCTGGAGAGTCTTTTTAAGAAAGCAAAAAAGTAAAACACTTCTAAACGGCTTCCAGCTCTTTTTGAAGGTAAGCTAATGTCTTTTTAGTGGTATGCTTGAGTGTATGTCAGATCATCTTGGAGAGGAGGTGGCCTGTAGGTTCCTGTCTCGCTGTTTGTGGCCTAGACAACCTGGCTGTAATGCACTGAAAATCCTCCTCGAGTAAGAAAATCTCTGAATGGAAGTTCTTCCAGCTATTGCACATTTGCAGATCATGCATCGACTTTGCATGCAGTTTTGATAAATGAGAGCTTTATTGTTCTGTACTGAGGAAGACAAATCCTACGTTTATTGAGGTACTTCTAGGAAAGAATTGTAACCTATTTTTGTGTCTTAAAGGATTCGCCTTTACTGTATATACTGGAGATGTATGAACTCTGTATGAACTGTAAAAAATACAATGAAGCTAAAACCAAACTGGACAAGTTTCAGGAAAGTCTCACAAAAGTAAGCAAATTCATTTCCTCTAAATGTCTTTGCCTGGGTCTTCCCTCATTAGAATGTGACACACATCTAAAAGCATATATGAAAATAATGAAGAGTATGCTTAGAATGACTAGGAGCTGGTTTGTGAAGCAGCAGGTTTCAGCAGATGCTTCTTATTACTGGCAGTTGATGGGAAGATGTTTTTGACAGTTCAAAACCCACAATGCATTTTTCTAAATGATTTTGGTTTAAGTTGATGTGGGTAGGTTGAAATAGAACGTCATCCTCCTCCTGTGAGCAGTTTACCATTTGAAGGTTGGCACTGACTCGGGTAGGACCCTTGTTGGTAAATTTAATTATTTGTGGTAAGTAAGTGTGGGATATTCTCTGTTCTGTATTGACCAGGGCAAGTCAATACTGAGCCAATAAACCAGTGGCTTACAGGGAATATCTATTAAGACAGACAACTTTTATGGAATATGCTTCAAAGTTTCTGAAAAAGTCTGTGATACTGCTTTAATTTTGGTGGTTGTGTAGACTTTTCTTTGAAAATGACCCAGTGAACTGAATCACACACTTTGATTGAAACATCGATTTAGCAGTTGGTTTTAAGAGGACCGGAGTGTTTTCATGCAGCGTTCCGTGTTTGTCACATATAAACGTTTTCACTAATTATTTCAGTTCTTTCCATCACAGTTTTCTAGTTCCCTGAATGTCTTGGTAACTGACATTCCATGTCATTAGTGGTTTTCCTTCCTGCAATTCAAGCAAAGGCCAGATCAGTTTCCTTTCCGATGCGCCACGCGCATAGTGGATATGCTGATAAAGTGTGCAGCTGGATGACAAGAGCTATTAACCTAGAAGTTTATTTTATCTATACATTTCTGATCCTTCTGGCATTTTTTTATCTCTTCCATGATTACCAGTGGAATCTTCCATGATTAGTGGTTGGTGGTCAAAGTCAAACATGCATCAGTAATGGCTCAGAGCTCCCTTGGGAATGGCAGTTCATTGTTTCTTACGGAAGGAAGTAGATCTGGTACACCTTCCATTTCCAGTGCAATTCCTACCAAAACGCAGAATATATTTGCAAAAATAAAAAGTAACCACAGAAAAATCTTTATCTACACAGCTTAAAACTGAAGGTGAACCAGCAGCTTCAGAATTACCCATGCCGTGGTTGGAATCACAAGCGGTGTTTCTTCTCGAGTTGATGATGCAGCAGTGTGGGACGGAATACGAATTGGGAAAGCTCTTAGGGCTGTTTGCTGCAGCAGAGAATTTTCTGCTTGATGGTAAATACAGCTTCCTCTGTTCGGTGATGTTCCTGCCTTGATCTGGCAACCACCTGCAATGTTTTTGGAGTGACTGAAAAGGTTTGCTGTAAGTGCGTTCACGCTGATTTATTTTTGTGTAGGAGTTTATGTAACCAGAGTTGGTCCTTACGGCGAATCGCAGTGGTGAAAGTGTGATTGTAAGTCGGTTTGGGAGTGATTATGTGCAAGTCTTGATGAGGAGTGCACAGATATTATCTATGGAAGTATTTTAGTCAAGGATTTGGAGTTGATTTCAGTCTCAGGAAGGTTTTAGAGAGCGTAAAATCTATGATCCTTCTCGTGCAGGGTTGTGTGCTGACAGAAGTAGCAGAATTTCCTCAGGTTTAAAATCCAGCTCCCTTTAATTGTTCGTCCTCCTTTAAAACAGGCCCTTATGTGAAGAAACTCTGTGCACTCAGCGAGACCCTGAAGGATTCCTCCGTGTCCATTAATCGCTCCGTCCTAACCAGTCACAGCATGGCCACGTTTCAGAGCGAGTGCGGATCGATTCTGGAGCAGCTACAAGAGAGAGGAATGTTCTCGCTGGCTCGGGAGGTAGCAGCACTGGCTGAGCTGCCCGTGGACAATGTAGTTACTCAAGAGGTACAGTGTAGTTAAACAATGAGACTCACCTCTTAGTACTCCTATTACTGGCAGTATTGCAGATGTTACTTCTCAGTCTTCCTGAAACACAAATTTTTCTTCAGATTTTTATTTGAAATGCAAGTACACCAAACAAGTTGACTGTAAGTGCTGAGCCAAAAAGGACAGCGTAGCTTTCCTTATTCTCTTACTATTCTTACTTGCTATACAGTCAGTTTTATTTCCTGAGAAAAATAGACGGATTTGTTACGGATTGAGACACTTAGTCTAAATTCAGTTTTTCAGTATTCCAGCCATCCAGTGTGATTTTTCTTTTTTGGGAAAATCGCTGTTTAAAACCTTTTGTGAATTTTGCAGGTTCTAAGAGATCTACATCGTTTAAGAGACAGTGGACAGTGGCATCAAAACCAGACTAGAATTGAATTCTGGAAGAAATGTAATGACAACTTCATGAAGAACTCCATCTCCAGCAATGCTGCATCTGAATTTTTTTTTAATCAAGCAAACACAGTGTTTGAACCTTTAGCTGACGAGAAGATAAATGGCGTTATGGAGAGACATTTGTTGCTTACCCTAGCTGGCCATTGGCTGGCCAGGAATGACTCGGTGTCACTGCACAAGTTGGAAGAAATAGAGAAGCAGATCTGGATTTGTCGCATTGCACGACAAATGTTGTCCGCAGACGAGGGGTCAGGCAAGTCAAGATCTTCCTCTCGTGTTGTAGTGGACAGAGATCTTACCTTTGATAACTTAGCTAAGGAGTTTTCTTTTTCAAAGCTACCTGATCTGAACACACCCAAGCACTTAAAACTAGAGAGTCTTCCATGCAGAGAGTCCCAGCAGACCCTGACTAGCGAGGAGGAGGAGTCACTCGAGTTTCTGATCGGATGCCTTCTCGATGAAGGAAGTGTGCACGAAGCCAGCCGTGTTTGCCAGTATTTCCAGTTCTACAACAGAGACGTTTCCCTGGTATTGCATTGCAGAGCTCTGGCCTCAGGGGAGACTGATGTAGACAAATTACACACAGATATTCGGCCGCTCCTGGTAGCAAGAGAGAAGACATCTGAAAGCAGTTCGTCTCAGCAGGGCAGAGTCTCGAGCAGTAAGTAACACTAACCAGTTCAGCCATTTCACAAATAATACAGTTGTTGGGGTTCCACTGGACTCTTCCTCTCCTGTTACAGTGTTGATTTCCCCAAAAACTTCTGCAGGAAGTAAGGTCTTCCTTCATGGCAGTGGGTGATCTCCTTGGTTCATAAGGCTTCTAACGGAAGGAGGTCGAAGCCTGGTAACTGCTCGTGTGTGCTTTGGGCAGTGTGTTTCTGTGTGCAGCTTCTGTAGTCTCTTAGCTGTTCCTTTTCTCATAGTTCACAGTTCTGTTCCAGTAAAGTAGCACTGAACTTCATCTGTGTTTCTGCTTCTGGAATAGAGGCTGTAGTAAATCTTGAGTGTGTTGCTGGAGCTGAAACATGGGCATGCTTGAGTTAATATATTTCTCTGAATTCTTTGTGCATTATAAAGGGTTTAGTGTTTCTTATTAATAGCAAGGCTAAGGCTGGTGATGTTTTGTATAAAGTACTCAGTGCGTATTTATGAGGTGTGAATGAGAAAGCTGTCAGCTGGAACGTTACTTTCTAATGCTGACATATATAAAGCTTAATAGGAAAAGAGAATAAATGAAGCCTTAGCCATCAGAAAGACTTCTGAACCCTTATGCTCTCTTATGATTAGGAATCATCTGAGATATTACGGTGGATATTTTGGCTCATTTGTGTTCTGTCATATTGGTTGTACCCTAAAACTTAAAAAAAATACGTATAAAAAAATAAAATCACAGGTATCAAGAGTTAGTTTTCAAAGACTGAGAAAGTATTATGTATTTGCTGCAGATTTCTGGAGTCTTGCTCCAATATAAGGCTTGTTGGTGCTATCTGTCTTTACAAGAAAGGAATTTATAGTGGTTTTGTTTCCAGCATCAAGCTTAGAAGACTGGACACACATTGTGGCTCCGTCTCTAGATGATCCAGTTGTTACCAGTCTGAAGGCTCTCATAGATGAATGTGTCCATGGGAGAAACTACTGCAGACAGGTTCTCTGTCTGTATGAACTTTCTAAGGTATGTGTCTCGTAACGTTACTGAAGAAACAAGCAGTTTGTGCCAAGCTGTGCTGTGGAGATTCGTGGAGAGCAGGATAAAGAGTGGTGAGAGTACTCATCAACAAGCTTCCGCGGGTGAACTTACCAAGCCTTTGTGTGGAAAAATGGCCAGATGCTTCCTAGGCGTGAAGTGTTGAAATGAGCTCAGCTCCCAGACTCCCCAGGCCCCTACCTCTGACTCCACCAAGCCAGATTTCAGCCTGGGTCTCTTTGATGTGCCTTTTTTATAATCTTTCAAGCGTGTGTTGTTCATCTAGTGCTTCGCTTCAGGCCTGCGTTGTGGGATGCCTTCGTAATCGGCGCTGACCCAGACGCAGACACAGAGATAGCAGCTGCCTTAGAAGTTTGAGCACAGAGGTGCTCTGCAGGCTCCACTGCGTGGCAGCTCGTTACCCAGAGGCTGCTCAGAGGAGTGCCCAGTAAGTTCCAAGTGGTTTGATCCAGACAGTGATAGGAGAAGTGGCAGATTGTTGTGTGCTGCCTCTCTGCTCCTTGACCCTCCTGAGTGCCAGCAGCCCATCTCCGCTGCTTCTCCAGGAGGTGCTGCTCAACAATTCTTTCAGGGTACAGAACCCCTTTCCATGATATTTAGTCCATAGTTTTGGAACGTAGCATTAGTTTTTTCTGAATAAAAACTGCAGCGTGTGTGCCAAAAATATTAGTCTTGTCTTTATCACAGAGGTTCTTAGATCTGCCTACAGAATTTTTCATGCCTTGAATATTCAGAGTGAGTACTTTAGTTTTGAGCTGCTAAGAAGTAGTCATGTTACCAGCTTGTCCCCTTTTATACCATCCATTTACTTCTTGCCTGAAGCTGGATGTTCGTGCTTTGGAATTAAGAGTTGATCTTTGTGTGGATGAGGTGCGTTTGGTGATGAATTTTTAAATTTGGAATATGTTACAGCAGAGAGTTTACAAAGCCTCACTGACTCCTCTTCCAAATGTAACTAGTGTATATTTTTCACTTGAGAGTTTGTGGTATGTAGAGAAGAGGAACCTCGTAAGTAAAACTTAGGCAGTAAACCAGAATATTTAATTTGGGAGGAAATACTCCTGTCTCTCTTCGTGGTATTTTAAGTGTTAAGGTTTGTGTTTGGTTCAGAAAAGCGACAGCTCCATGAGTGCTAAACTTCAAATGGAAAGTACTTAAATGCCATCCTGAGCTGCAGAACATGAATACTGAGGATGCACAGGTGAAGGCACTGTTAACTGGCACAAGGACAGATTGTGTTTGCATTTCTGGGACCTGAGTTTTGTCTGCTCCTCCAGCACTCCCCACTTCCATCAGCTCAGCGTTAAGAAGATGCACTGCAGGTCAGTGTATGTTCTGGCCTGGCATTTTTGCTGTGTGAGATCTTCTAAGTGTGTGTGTGTGTTTCTTAGGAGTTGAACTGCTCCTACAGTGAAATGGCAGCCCACCACCCTGAACAAGTGCTTCGAGCAATCCTGTCGTGCCAGCAGCCGGATCGATGCAGGAGAGCTCAGGCATTCATCAGCACGCAGGGTCTGCAGCCTGAAACTGTGGCAGAGCTGGTGGCTGAAGAGATCGTGCAGGAATTGCTAGTGTCTGCGGAAGGGAAAGGTGGTAAAGAGGCTTGGTCTTGTCTTGTAGCATATGTGGTTTGTAGGTGTGGTGTTTGTGTGTCTGAAAACCAGTCCTGGCTCCTGAGATATTTGGTGATTACAGTTAGCAATGTTTGGGCTGCTGGTGTATGAGGTTTTATACAAATGTCTTTTTTTAGTTACTTTTGTGTCTGATGTGGTGGTGCAGTAGTTAAGGTTTTTTCCTTTATGGGTGTAAATTTAATGATTTTAAAAGAAAGAGTTGTTTGAATTTTTTAATCATGATCTTTGCAGCCCCACATCATCTGACTTGTTAATTTCTTTGTGAAAAGTGTGGCCAAGGTTTGGGGTGGGTTTTTTGGTTGTTTTTTACTTTTTGAAGTGAGGGATATTCCTCAAAACAGCAGGAGTTTATCTGGGGGACTTTTCTATTTGAGTAACTTCTACTTTGCCACAACATTAACAACAAAGTTCCATGAGAAACAATGAGCCATCGGATGGAGATTCTTGAGTCCAGGTGTGCCTTCCTCTGCCCCTGCCATCTGCCACTCCGCTACCCCCCTCACTCTGCTGCTCACCTTGTACCAGCTCACTTGGCTAGCTCAGATGAGTTGGTGCACCTCCTTCAGAAGAGTCAATTTGCTAACTCAGCGGAAGGCAAATCCAGAAAAGAAGAGTTTTCTGTTGAGTTCATGAGTCGAACAGGTTCATGGAAGAATATGAATCGGAGCCACTGCAAGGAATGGGTTAGAATTGGGTTGTGTAAGGAAGGGGAGCAGCAGCAGCCTCCTGGGTGTAATTATAGCAGCAGTACAGTTCGTCAGTGGGATTTCATTGGATTGAACTGGCCAAGAAGTGGTATCTGATTCTTAAATTTAAGCAGTAAGATCAAAAGTGCCTCTAGAGTTGTAGTTCCAAGTCCTAAGTCAGTCTGGATGAAGTTATATTTATCTGTTTGGGTTTTTTTCTATTAATGTAGCTAATCTCTCCTGAACATTTAGCACTTGTGACACAACTCTCTCTCTCTCTGTGGACACAGGCCAGAAACATGTTTTGAACCCCGCAGCTGAGAGCCAGGCGTTCCTACAGCTTGCTAAGCTGTGCCAGGATCATACGTTGGTTGGCATGAAGTTACTGGGTAAAGTTTCCTCCGTACCACGTGGGGAACTGTCATGCAGTAAGTAAATAATCCTTGATGTAACTAGTGTGTTACTAAACATGGCATGACTTGGTTTCAGATCCCCTCGCAGAGAATAAATGCAATACTGATGGAAGCATCTGGCACTGATGTCAAATCTGATATTAAAATAATAGATCTGAGTACAAGCACAGTAAGCATGTTGCTTCAGTTTTCTTTCCAAACAAAATACAGATTTTTTTTTTTTTTGTGCCAACAGTGGGGAAGGGCAGTCAGTGAGTTACCTGAACTTCTGTAGTTCCATGTGACAGAAGGAGGGTGTCGTGACTTCCTTTGTGCTGGTCACAAATATAAATCGCTTTATATGCCATGGAGATGTTGCCATTGAGTTTATAAAACAGCCAAGGCACTTTGGTACCATTTGGGCACTGGTGGTTTAGAGTGGTTTTAAAAAAGATGTATTATGGGCAGTTAATCTCTGAGGAAAACGAATGAGGATAAGGGTTTTGTGTGAGTTGTCTCATGAGTGTTAATGGGGGCAGAACTTCCAATGTGGTGAGGAAAGAACATCTTCTAGAACACGTTCTGCAGAAGGAAAAGCGTGGCTGAAGTTAGTGGTGAAACTGTTCCAGTGGAATCCAATTGGATTGGAAATTTGGCCAACCTTTGTGAGAAAAGGAGTTAAAAATATCATGTTTCATGTGATCTTTGTGTCCCTAACGCATTTGTCCTGTTGTCAGATCTTAACTTACCCCTTATTTTGTCTGGTTAAGTATTATGGGGGTGAATATTAATATTTTCATGTATGGCTGACTAAAAGTAAGGAAAAGGAGGAAACAATGTTGGGAATTACCAAATGGTGCTGGAGGACTCCACCTCCCTTTGACAGGAGTCTCTGCTGGAGTACCTTTTTGCAGGTAGAGGTGTAGTTGGTTTCTTTGAAAATAAGTTGTGCGGGTTTACGACATGAGCTGTGTTCTTTTCAACATCTGCGTTTTAAATCTGTTGTTCACCAGTCCATGTACCTCTGCTGCTTTTCTGAGGTGAACTGCAGGGTGCTGAGAGGAACATCTGGGGCTCCCAGTGTCGTGATGGCTTTGCAGTAGCAGATCAGGCCTTCCACGGAAAAGGGAATGTGCTAAAATGTACTGATTCAACTTATTTATTTAGTCTGGAATTTGTGAATGATTTTTCAAACCCAGATGCCAAACTTGTGGCCTTTCTGTTTCAAATGCAGAGCTGACTGGTGATAGTGGGGTGCTGATGCATTATTACGTGCTTGTCAGTCAGCTTTTGGTGGAGGAGATGGGAAGTTTTCTGTGTGAAATAAGTAATGTTTCAGAAAATGATCCAAAACCCCCAGACTTTCCCACAGATTGAGAAGCCAGACTGCGTGCATTCTGTAACAGAAACTGTTACTTCTTAAAACTGCATAGGGCAGAACCATAATAGCTCAACTTTCTGATCCAGTTGTGCTGTTTGTAACTGGAAAGGCTGTGTATCCTCTGCAGAGATGGCATCGCTTTGGAGAGAGGCATAATAATGAAATTCCTCAGCTTATTAACCGAAATACCTGAGTTCTCTTCTCTTCTTCAGTTACAGAACTGCTGATTTTGGCCCACAATTGCTTCAGTTTAACTTGCCACATGGAAGGAATCACTAGAGTCCTCCAAGCAGCACGGCTTCTCACAGACGAACATTTGGCACCTAATGAAGAGTACGGACTTGTGGTACGTTGTCTTTGGTGCCATGTGTGTTTATCCAGGTGTTGTGTGAGGGTTCCAGGCACACGTTAGCAAATAACTTTGCTCCTGAGCAGTGCAGGAGGAGTGGGTGGGTGATGGAATGGAGAACAGTCTGTCATCTCTGGTTGACTGGTCTTGTCCAGCCTGTCCCTAGAAGCCAAGAGAGGGTGTTTGGGATGATTTTTATGTCACAGAAGCTCTTGGGAGACTTCTCTGGAAAAATAGAGTGGAGACAGTAGGATGGTGAGGTGGCAATCGTGTAGTAAATCAGAACGGGAGTGTCGAAGTAGCTCAGCCACTGGTGAAGCATGATGATTTCCATCACCACGCTGTTGTGCGTCGAAGTCCTGCCTTGAAACGACTCCTGGGGCCTCAGACGTGCCCGGGGCAACGGTGTCGTTGCTAAAAGCTTCGCTGCGTATCTTTATATGGTACAACTGTGTCCCTTCAGCTCACAGTGGAAAACAGGCAGTAGGCTGGTGGAAAAATCCAACCTCTGTGGCTCTCAGGGAACATCTGCCTGCCTAATGCAGCTGTGCCGTGCCGCTGGATCCCCAGCGCAGCGCTCTGGCCTCGCGCCGCCCGCTCCCTGCTCACGGCTTCGGGGGGGGTTTGGAGACCTCGTGTTGGGCTTCGTACTCACACCGTGTTTCCACAGGTCCGTCTGCTCACTGGAATTGGCAGGTACAACGAAATGACCTACATATTTGAACTGCTGCATGAGAAACACTACTTCGAAGTGCTCATGAGAAAGAAGTTGGATCCGGTAGGTGGAAGGGGATAAAGGGGAGACACCTTCAGAGGAATGTGTGACTGCTTCAGAAACTGGTATTTCATAGAGTCATAGAATCGTCTGGTTGGAAGAGACCCTCGAGATCATCGAGTCCAACCATTCCCCCTGCACTGTCAGGGTCCCTACACCATGTTCCTCAACACCAAATCCACACAGTTTTTAAACACCTGCAGGGTTTAAAATTTACACAACGATTTAAAATTTACACAACAATTTAATTTACACAACAAGGTGGAATTATCTGGGCATTTTAATTACTGGAGTATAGGAGGTGTTATTCAAGTTCACAGTAATAAATTAATTCTGGGGTTTATTCTAGTTTTAGTTTAACAAGTTTGTTCTAATTAGTCCATTGCTGCCACGAGAGCAGCATTGTAACTTCAAGCTTGGGAATGTCAGAGTTCTCATGTCCTGCTTTGGTTTTACTTCCAGTTAATGTTTCATGGGTTTTTTTAAAATAACATATTTATAGCTTTCTTGTAACACAAATAAAGTCATAAACAAATGTCAGTGTTGACATTTGTATGTAAATAAATAAATGCATAGGTGCTGGATTTGCTTACCTGGTGTAATGTCGTTGAGCCCAAGTGTAAAATTGCCATGATGTTTTAAAATAGTATGGAGACACCTCGAAGAGTGCAGTGATCACTTTTTGGAAAATTGTACCAGAACAGATTTGCTTGTTGGTACCAAAACGTGATTTAAAAAAAAAGCTCTTGGAATCTTAACCTGGTGTCCCTTTATGTGGCCAGAGCGGGACGTTGAAGACAGCCCTGCTGGATTACATCAAGCGCTGTCGCCCCGGGGACAGCGAGAAGCACAACATGATCGCCCTGTGCTTCAGCATGTGTCGAGAGATCGGGGAGAATCACGAGGCTGCTGCTTGTATCCAGCTGAAGCTCATCGAGTCTCAGCCGTGGGGTGAGTGGCAGCTGCGGCACCGAGAAACACCAGCAAGGTTGGTCAGGGAGGAGAAGACACGATGCGTAGGTGTAGTGTTGGTTGCCTCTGTTGTCCTGGTAACATCCATTAAACTCCCACTGTCTGGAAGGAGGGGCCCTATTTGCCAGGCTTGGGGTATTCTTTTACCAGTTTACCTGTCTGCTCTGGTATTTTTCCAAAAGTTGAGATTTTTGGCTCTTACTGTAACGTGATGTTCCTGTGGTACCGTGCAGGGAGGAGGTAAGGACACGTGCAGTAGCTTTGATCCTTTTAACTGAGCAGCAGGCATCGCTATTTCTTTGTGCTTTTTTAACACAAATTTTTTTTTTTAGTCTTTTGTTGCTTTCTGAATCAATGTTAGGGACAGACTTGGTACCAGGAGGTATTTTTGTAACTTACTTTGTCACCTTTATAAATAACTGGTTATTCTTTTTTTTCCCCCCCATTTCAGAGGAGTCTCTTCGGGATATTGCAAATTTAAAGAAACTGCTGATGAAAGCTTTGACTCTCTTTATTGATGCAGCAGAAAGCTATTCTAAGGTAAAATGGGATGGAATTGTATGACTTCTGTGCAGTACTGGGAGCATGTAAGGAGTGAGCTGAATTGGAAGAACAAATACAGCTGCTCCAGAGAGGGTGTGCAGAATCCTGTCTCAGTAGGAAAGGAGCAAAGGAATCTCTTGTTCTGTCAGCTCAGCAGTGTCCCAGCAGTCCTAATAACACTTGTATCAAAGAGCAGAATGCTGTTCCCTGCTCAGGCTTTAACATCTAAGGTTACAATGAGGTTCCCCAGTTTAGAGGAGTGACCGTGAGCTTAACTAGCTAGAAGAGAACAACGCAGAGTGTTTAAAACTGGTGTGATGATGATGAAAGTAGTGTTTGTGGTGAGTGGAGCTTCATTTAAAACTACTGGAGTATGATCAATGATAAACCACCAGTGATCTAAAGGATGAAATATTAGACAACTCTGAACTCATTGTTGCTCTCGGGAATATTTAGTGATTTCCCCTGGAAACACGCTTCAGAAGACTGCATTTGGCTTTGATCTCTGCCACAGGACTCCTGCGTCCGCCAGTCCTTGCGCTGCAGTCGGCTGACAAAGCTCATCACCCTCCAGCTGCATTTCCTCAGCACTGGCCAGAGCACTATGCTCATCAACCTGGCCAGGCAGAGCCTGATGGATGCCATCGTGTCCCTGCCCAGGTTCTACCAGGTGAGCCTCTTCCTCATCCCCCACTTTGTGTGCCAACGGTTGTGTTAAGCAGCAGGTGCTGCAGTGCTCTGCTCCTGGGAGCGTAAGCCTCAACTCTGCTACGTGGCCACCAAGTCCCGTGACTATTAACCCGTCGTATTGCTGCCAGTGGGACCAAGCTGGGAAATGCCAGCATGATCCTGGGGCAGACTGGTGCTTGTAACAGTCCTTGCTGGTTTGCTGCCATTGCACAGCCGGGACCTTGGCTCTCCAACAGCTCCCGTGCTGCTGTGAATCGACACTACAGCCCTAAAATCTATTCGACGTTGGAAAAAAAAAATCTGGAAAGAAGAAAGGAAAGGGCTTTTTCAAGAGAGCAAACACCCTCCCCAACTCAACACCGTGTTTAGGGGTTAAGGAAAATTATTTGCAGTGTTTTGTTACCCTTGTATTTCTCTCTCTCAAGAGCAGCATCAGAGATGGGCCGAACAGAAGACCCAGAATGTTTTAAGTATTCCAAGTATAGGAATGTTTCTGTGCAAGAACGAGCTCTTCCTGCTCAGTAATTCCAGCATCTGTTCTCCCTGCAGGCAGCTATTGTGGCGGAGGCTTACGAGTTTGTTCCAGACTGGGCCGAAGTTCTGTATCAACAAGTGATCACTAAGGGAGACTTCACTTACTTGGAAGAATTTAAACAACAGAGGCCGCTGCAGCCTGCCATGTTCGAGGAGATCGCGAAGAAGTAAGTAGTTCTGTGGTCAGACTGGAACTCGCTTTTCCACAGGCTGCTTTAGAGGAGCAGCTGCGTGTTTAGTAGCCTGCAAGTCTGACTGATGCTAAAAACTTCTACGTGATAAAGTGTTGAGCCTAGAGACTTGAGATCTGTTCAGCACATTGTGGAAGTAGAACTGGATCTACCGTTTTTTTGAGCTGGATGAATAGGGTGCTTCAGGGCTGGTCAGATTCAAATGTTTTTTAAAATGAATCAGAGCAAAATAAACCACCAAGAGAATCTCATGTCCATGTTGAGCTCTCCCTCTTTTCAGGAAGTGTAGTTCTTGCAGTTCTGCAGCAAGATAGTCTTGTCGTTGTCTGTGAAGCCTGTTTCAATTCTACGTGCAATTCTTTCCAGAGTGAAACAACACCCACCCACTGATGCTGCTCTGAGAAACCTGAAGAAACTGCTCACCTACTGTGAAGATGTCTACACATACTACAGGCTGGCTTACGACAACAAGTTCTACGATGTGGTGAATACGCTTCTGAAGGATGCACAGACTGGCTGCTGTCTTAAGGATATGTTATCCAGCTAGATTCCAGCCTCCGGGAAGCAGAGACTGGCTCTGGCGAGGACCAGTGCCGCAGCTTCGTGCATGGTTGGTACTGATGCTTCAGCACGGGTTTTTGTTAATTACCTGCTTCCAATGATACATTGCTATGTGAAAGTGACTCCAGAAAACTGGTCCTGGTTGTAAATATTTAAAACGCTGAGACTGTGTTAAACCTAAAATTGTGTTTTGTATAATAAATCTTCCTGTTTACGAAATACTTGCACAGCTGATGATGCAGCAGCTCTTTAAAGCAGCGGTGTGGATGATGGATCACCACTGGAATCGGATCATCTCACCCACCAAAAGGCTGCAGTAGAACATCCAGTCCATTGGCAATGAATTAAGTGGAAGAACGAGCAAGCTCCTTTGAAACTTTTTAGCTACACACGGTGATAGTTGGTCCTTGATTCCAGTCTGATGATGGGCCCAGTTCTGTTTTCCAGCTCGCTGATCCAGTGACACAGTCCTGCACGACTCCAAGCAACAGGTACTGACTTCGCTGCCCTCTGGGACTAAAAGAAGTCTCAGACTAAAACCAAAACACGGAGCTCTTCTAGCTGCTAAGTAGAAGAGCTGACTCTGTTCCAGCTGAAACCAGGACAGGTAATCAAGTACCAATGTTAAATTTTAACTCCTTCCCATGCTTGGGCAGAAGCTGGTTAGCAACACCCTGCCAGGAGCTGGCAGCCAGCGGGTTCTGCCACGTTGGTGTCTGGCAAGTTGACAAGAGCAGGGCTGATGTAACTGGGGAGGGGGCAAGGCTTGGGCACGGCTTCAGGCAGAAACCCAGCTGCAGCTCGGCCTCGCTGCAGCCCCCAGAATAAACGCAGCCCGCGGAGCTTCCAACTGATCCGAAGCCATTGCCTCCTGCCCAGCAAGGGGTGGGGAGGGCGGGTAGCTGACTGCAGCACAGACAGCTTTCCAGTGGAATTAAGCAATGATATTGTACTCCCTAAATATTATCCTAGCAAAAATAGTTGCCATAGCAACCCAGTTAATTAGCAAAGAGATGCCACCAGTGCCTTCTCGGGTGCTGAATGTTTTTGTGCCAGCAGCTGCTGCATAGGACCAGTGTTTGCTTGCACAGTATCCCAGCGCTGCAGCAGCTGTGCCAGGAGCTGTGCACAGGTCTACACAGTGCAAGTCCCTGCTCTTTCGCTAACTAAAATGTTTGATGTAGGGAGGACTGTGCCTGAGCAGAACACCGTTTAGAATTCCAGTTCCAGTCAGCCTCCTACACCCAAGTGAGACCGAGCTGGCTGTGACTAGTCCAAGTTAAACACTGGCTAGCAAGCTTCTTGCTTAAATTTAAAGTTCTTAGCATGAAAGGTGCACCTTGAGCTATGCTTCTAAGAATTACTCACCATCCCCGATTCTTTAAAAATTTGGGACCACTAACAATGGGGAGGATGTGGAAGAACTTCTGCCTTGAGGAAACACACCCGTGTCCCATCCACACCAGGAACAAACACGTGAGTAAACCAGAGGTTGTAGGTGCAGGACTGGTGGTGGTAACGGCAGCTGCACATAACTGCTCGCACTGCAAGGATCTGCACTGTAAGCCAACCAAAGAACTGGCCCAAAGACAGCTGCAGTGAAGTCCTCAATAGTGATTTTTATTAAATTAGTTGCTTTATAAAACATTGCAGATGTCGTAATTGTTAACATAACAATTTGCCCAACTGTAGTAACTGTCGCAGTTTGCTAAGCAAGTTTGGGTTTTTTTTTAAATGAAAGAAAATGGTTGAGTCGTGAAAGATCTGCCACGACCCATAAAAGACCAAGAAAAGTCTTGTTTTCTTCACACTTAAACCAGGCAGTTAACTGTTAAAGAACACCCAACCCATACAGCTGCATTAGGAGAAATTTAGATGAATGGAAACTAAACTTCGCACTCGAGACACAAGTCGTCTTGTCTTTTTTTTTTTTTTTTCCAAATCAGCAACCCTTTCCTTGGGCTGGCCCCCCCCCCGTGTTCAAGCTGTGTAGTCGTGGCTCCAGGTGAAGCTGCAGTTCCCCTTCACAACCCGTGACAACCTCGGGCTCTACCTCAAGCCAAAGCAATCGTAACGCTACGCGCACACACGCCCTCGCTGCAAACCGCTTCCGCTGTCACGCCGCGGCGGCACAGTTAAGGCCATGTCACTCGGCTGTGCTGGCAATGGCACTGCTGGAATTCCTCCCACTTTCCTGGCTGCCACGATAACACCAAATAGCAACAGTTCCCGTGACCAGAACTGTGGGGTTTAACTGCAATGTACAAAGCTTTTACAGGTCTTCGTTCTAACTCCTGGCCACAGAAGAGGAAGCCCAGTGCTTCAGCACAGACTGTCAGGAGTTAAACCACCAGCACAGAGATACTGCAATTTGATTGTAGCATTTGGCAGAATTTAAAGGAAGAAAAGTTGTGCTACATGTTTAAGGGATTATGGGCAACAGAAAGACAACAGAAGGGGAGAGAAGTGTCACATGAAGTCTTCAAAGTCTTGTACGTATTCTCCATCGTATCCTCCGTAATCAGCCAGGTCATCTTTCATCGTAGCCTTCAAACCACCTCCAGGCACAACACCTTTTTTCTTCTTTTTGGCTTTGTTCTGCTTAAATGAGAAGAGCATGTTGACTTTAACATCCACAGTAACTGGTCGTCACTCTAGCTAGAGTAAAGCCACCTGTCTTTGAGCACAAGGCCACTGGTCGCCACCCCTGCACTCCATCCCCCAGTGACACCTACTCAAGGTAAAGCCTCCCCCCATCACATACCTGCCCATGTTTCATCTTTCAGCCTATTTTACCCATACTGTAAACAAGTAGGATAACTAAGTAAATGCAGAGTCTAGCATTTAGTTTTGTGAAATTACCCTTTTCATTGAGGAATTTAACGTGGCTTTTATCACCACAGTGGCCAAACATCTTCCTTGCAAATAAAAAAACAAAAGGAAGTCCTAAACAAACTTTACAGAACATTTCACAGTAAAGCTCTTCCTCGCTGGATTGGTGTAGCTGACCCAACTAATTGACATGAAAAACCAGAGAAGAGTATGAAATTAGGAAGTATATATACTTTTTCTTTTTAAACTTGTTTGGTTCAGTAGGTCACAGGCTTCTCTCCGAAGTGCAGTTCATATGAAGGAAAAAGTTTATCAATCATGGTTGCCAACTCCAGACTTACTGCATTAACACTGGACAACAAGTCTGGGTTGCATTAAGGTGCTTCCCTCATCCCTGGGGAGTCAGAACAGCACCCAGAAGAACACCTGACACCAGATCAGTTTCTGCCCAAGAGGTTTCCCATTTCACATTTACCAGTTACTCCTCACACGGACAACACTGCCATTTGTTTCCTGACCGTCCTCCAGTTTGATTGAGAACACACCAAGAGCTGCACTGCTGCTCACGTTCTCTGCTTGATTTTGCTGCCATCTAATGATTCACTTAACCACTGAACTCCAGCCCACCTGGAGTTCTGACATGCCATAAAACATGTATTGCATCACAGAAGCAGCAGTTCAGCCATTACATCACGTTTTAAACCTGCTCTTCCTTGCTTAGGCAGTGACTGTTCCTTTAGTTTGCATGACTGTGAAAAATCGCAGTTATCTGCTACTCAAAATCCCAAACTCTGGCAAAGCTTTAAGCTCCTCACAGACTGGTATTCTGTTGACACTGAACAGTAAATGAGGCACTTCTGCCCTGGGGATGTTGGTGTGAGCCTTCAAACGGAGCAGGGTCAGCCCGTGGGTGACACCGGTCAATCCATCACGGTTTGCCTGTGATCTCCAGGTTCAGTCAGCTCCTGATTGCCTCACACAGAGAAGAGGATTTAACTCTAAACAGTCTCCAAGGCGAGCGCCTCATCCCCTGCTGCCACCTCGGACAACATCAGCAGCTCAGCTGAGCGTGTCTCCGTCAGCACCCTTCGTGGTGCTCTCACTGCTGCACAAACACGCACAACTCTTACCTTTTCTTGTTTTTGTTTTTCACTGCATAGTACTGTCAAAGTATTTGTGATCTTTTTCAAATCGTCAACTTCCACTACATCAGGAAGGAAAAAAAAAAAAAAGAGAGATTCCTGATCAGTGTTGTTCTTAAAGGCAGTTGAATAACCCACCACCAACATTCTCTAAACTAGAAATACGCTGCAGTAGTAAGTACAAGCAATTACTGGACTTAAATCAGTAAAATACAGAGTGGGTAATTCTGGTCCCTGCAATCACAGAATTACCATTTCAGACGGTCCCTAGGAAGCAGTGTGAATGTTGTGGAAGGTAAAACTTGCAAACTGAGAGTTAGTCAACACAAAAGCCTTAATGAGGAGGCGTGTGACCAGTAAAATATGGATCCAGTAACACACAGTGTACCCGAGCACAACAAACAAATCACTATTAGCAGTAGATGGCCCAAGAGGCTGGGTCCTTCACGTTAGAGATCTGGAATCCATTTGAAACGTAAGTTCCCGGCTCCGTCAGCCAGCGATCACTGTGTTTATCCAGCACTGAGTACTATCAGGTTACTACTTCACTGAAGGACACGTACAGCACAGGAAAAGATAATTAAGCAACGATCCACCAAGTCCTTCAGCCTCCCAGAGCAGTGGAAAAAAAATAGTTTAAGTTAGTTTTATCTCTGTGTAGTTACATGTTGATTTCCAGATCAATTTATTCTGCAGTCCCGGAATTACATGAACTCCATTTTGTAACAGTTTCCTTCCAAATGAGCCACTCAAGTTATCTGGCTCAGAGAACTGTTACTGTTACCATTACTATTACTTTACAAATGGCTTCAAGAAAAAGGCGCAGGATTTGGGGCAGCATAAAGAGTCACACTGTTCCAATCACTGTTCCTGAACTGACGCAGAGAGCAGCTCTTGTGCACAATCTGCAGTAGTTTGTCAGAATGGAATCGGATACTACTCCGTGTACGTTCAGTACAGACTACACAGATGAACCTCGATCCCACATTTACTACAACAGCGTGTTCCCAAC